GTTCGAAATTTAAAATTTTTAATTTGAGTTTCAATTTAAAATTCGTATAATTGCGTATACTTAACATACACGAGGCATCTCCACTAAAAATGAAATCTGAACACACATCCGCCCGTAACAGACTCCCCCAGCCTCCTCCATGACACTCGAATCAAGGTCATCCTAGTTGCTAGGCCGCTGTTCAGTGCATTTGCGCCAAACTTACGCACAAGCGCACGTGTGTCCCTTCTCAGCCATTACATCGCATCACACTCGTTTGCTGGTGCCAGTGAATCATCTAGCAACGCCGAATAAGGCAAAGAAACGTGGACTGGTAACAAAATTTTAGGACAGAGCCACCGAACGACAAAACAGATGAAATTACAGCCTTAAAATGGGATACAGTACTTCAAATAGTTTCGAAATTTTGTGCAGTTAGATTTGCGTTTTAAATAGAACACCCTGTATTTTGCAAGTTATGTTCGCAACAAGTTTCTAGGTACAGTTTGTTCTTCGTATGACTCTTCGATTTGGAGCTTCACCTACGGTGACCTATTGGGGGGGGGGGGGGGCCCCCCAGAGTCAACGAGCAAAGAAGCATTCTGCAGGCGATTACACGAAGGAAAGCTAACTGGCTGGGACATATTATGAGAAGGAATGGATTAATGAGTGATATCACCGAAGGCCAGGTTGAAGGAAAGAGAGGACTAGGAAAAAGATTGATACAGCTAACCGACGACCTTAAACAAGGAAAGAAGATGACGTTCCAGGAATTAAAGCGAGAAGCCGAGAATAGGGACAACTGGAGAGCTCTTTTTGGGCAGAGCAATGGACCTGTCGTAAGACAGAACACTTAATAATAATAATAATAAGATTCTTGTACGGATGTACGAACCAGGAGGAAGGAGCCAGGATTTATAATCTGAACACGTTTACTATTCGCTGCCAATAAACAATGGTCGGAAGGCGGAGCCTTGATGAATAAACAGAACTAACACGTGCTTCTTGTGTGTTATCGGGAAGCTTGAGAGATGGCTACGTGGTTGTGGTTCCGAAGGATGACGCCGAGTTTATGTAACGAGAATGTATATATATCAACAGACCCCGAGATTAAGAACAGATGTAGCTGATCTCTACAATGAAAAAGTATAAGTTAATCTGGGCTAACCTTTTCAATGTTTTGATCTGGCGTAGAAACGGTTATTAATCGACTTTCTTTTTAAAAACAAAAGTCGACGTCAGAAATTCGCGCAGGCGCCATATTAGCACTTTTAAACGCAACAAAACACATGACCTGCAGAGGGCTTATAATTTCGGGTCGCACATATTCATTTGGCAGTGGTTTATCAGTTATATTCAAACGTAAAAATAAATTCAAACGTTGAATGGCAAACATTCGACAAGAAATATCACGCAATAAATTCTTTTTATGATATTACCATATAACATTTAAGCAACACGCATTGAATGAAGCTAAATTAGTCCCACCTCAGACGTTCGCAAGGCCCCAATGCTCATATAACGACCTTCATGAAAACTGATAGACTGTTCAAAATGTCTTACTGGGTGCACACTGGCATAATCATACACCAACGCGACATAAAACAGGGAAAACCTAACAAAATTAACACCGAAACATGACTAACCTGAACACTGATAAAGTTTCTCCTCGTTTTCCTCGTAATCCCTTCGTTTCCAAACGTTCCAGCGTTAAAATAAAACCACGTTTCTGACTTTTGAAGTTCTCACTGCGGTTTGAATACCGATATGTATCTTCTGGGTTCCGACACCGCGTGTACTTGTAGGTAGATACCGTTTCGGAGGGGCATACTGCTTCCATCTTCAGGGCCGAAGACAATAACGTCTTCGTATAAGTTACTGTCCTACTTTTGGTTGCAAAATATGAGCATTTATCTGAGCTACGCTGTTCTCATATTCAGACGATATTTGAACTCGGTATGTGTGCATTAATAATTAAAAATATGTATACTTTTCTCGCCTTTATATGTTATGAGGTGTTAGCGGCAAAGAGAAATGTATAATAATTTTTTGTGAAGAGAAGAGTCCACTACAGGCTCAGACTAACGTAGGATCATTACAGAATTTTCATAAACGGTACACAAACTAGTATAACCTTGCCCCAGATCGATCTTCGGGGTAGAGAACAAGTTTTATGTCGATAAAAAACAATATCCAGCAAAGTCAAGGTCTCTCATGTCAGCTTAAACTGTCATGGAACAGGTAATTAATGGGAGGATAATACAGGGTGTATCATTTAAGACGCAACTCAACAAAAATCACATAAGACATCAGAAACAGGTCTACCTCCGTGTTAACAGAATCTCCCAAAATGTCCCGTGACACTCGAGTTAAAGGAAATAGTTTGCTGCTGTTCGTGAAGCATTTTACTGACGAAGTAGATAATAACATAACACGTTTCAAACGGAATACTCCTTACTAACAAAAGCCTGGTGCGAGGTCACGGAATGAACTAAGTTATTGTTCAATTACAAGATTTGTTTCGTTTCGAAACAGCAAACATTTTCTGTGACATCTGAAATATGAACTGCTGTGGTGCCTTCTTGCACTATGAATGAGTCAGACAGACAGACAGACACAGATTACTTTTCCCACAAACTTCACATGACAAATTTCAAAACACGTAACAATTTGGCGTCGAGAAAACCTAGCTAGCGCATGTAATCGGCCTTGTGTTCTCGTAACATTTCAGTCATGCTACAAATGAACATGTCCCAGCGAGCGTCTGTTTCTGGAGGACCTCTCAAGGGGAATTATTTGTTCACACAGTTGCATTTCCACTGGGGAAGCAACGACTCTATGGGGAGTGAGGACACGATCAATAACCACACGTAAGTAATTGAATAGAGATTCATTTTAATAATATCCATCCAGATGACTGTCTGGGGACTCACTAATGGCCCCTAGGTTAAAAATAATGGAACTTCCTAGATATTTATGAAATTTTAATTTTAATTGTTCCGTTGACCAGTAACTGTCTTTAAGGGACATGGTAGGGTCACATGCACTCATGACCGCAATCGAGGGCTTGAGCCAATGTCAGTAGCCTTGGCTACGCTTCAGTTATCGACATCGTCAGTAACTCAACCTATACGGCGTCAAATGATGAATGAAACTGTCGGTGGCAGGTGAAGGTAAGTAACCTCAGAGCTTAGAGGGATGAACAACCACTAATTCAAAAGTTAACGTCACCCACATGTCTGCAAAAAAAAAACCCGACGCTGTGAAATTACACTGTTCTGGATTACTGTAATGATGACTGCCATGAGAACGTAAAATCTCTTACATCATAATGAGTTTTTAAGTGTTAAATACTAATTACACTTCACATATCTAGGTCAAAACAATATCCCACTGTATTACCATTCACAAAACTAGAAAACAATACATAAAAACAAAAGAATATATTCTCATACATGGCAGCAACATGGGTTACCAACCCTACCAAAAAAAAGTCACTGCCATGTTAACCTATAACAGGTTTTTTTTTTCCTTGTATGAGGATTACATTAGCTCCTTAACGAGTGGTCGTATATGCTTCCATTACTCACGATTTTAATCAGAAGAAAAATCATTTATAAAATCACATACCATAATGCATTTTTCTCACTTACGTGATCTTTGAAGTAACGTCATATTTCTCACAACACCTCTTATTGAAGGGGAGTCATATTTACTCACATGTATTTTGAATGGAAAAATTCTGAATTTTAAGACAGCTGTCTTCTGGGTTGTAGCGCAATGTAGTCTGGTAGAAGTTTACCAGCATTTCCGAGGTCCATCATCGGGGGGGAATGACCTCTACCAAATTAAGTGGCACTCCAGCCCAGAAGACAGCCAATGTTTGTACACGATGACGTGAGAACCACAGATTCTGAATATGTTTACAAAGTCTTTGATTAAAGTGTCCTCTGTCTCTTTCATTGCGCAGTCTCCATTGAATTTACTAGCCTGAACTGCAGAAATGAGAAAACTTTAAAATATCACGCTGTTTCAAAAACTTTCATAGCCTACAAGCTGTAGGATTTAGGTGATCGAGCCAGGATAAGCCAATGGCTACTTTAAAAAAGTAAAAATAATTCTTATTCTTCTGTGTACGAGTACAGCTGCTATGAAATCTGTGAAACAGAAGCCACGTGCAGAGGTACCAACCAAACACTTTGTGGTGAATGAATTAAATCCCTGTTGTTTGTCAGGTTTCCCCTGGAGCTACACATCGTCATGTACAAAAAGGATTACGGGACTTTCGACAATGCCACGCGCTACAAAGATGGCCTCGCTGTACTTGCCGTCTTCTACGAGGTGAGACCAACAGTGAACCACACGACATGATTTTGTTTTGGTACATCCTAGGCAATGGCGATTGACGCATAACAAGCAAACAAACAAACTAGCAAAATTAACTCCACAGTGATCTTCCTTCGTCAATTTATAGTTATTCCGGTAAAGCTGTACCCGCGTCACTTAAGCATCTAACGATGTAGACATGCGGAAGAATGAAGGCACACCTCCCTGCTTTTTTAACCAATCAAAAATTATCTGCTTTACGGAACCTAATTTTTTTATCACTAGACACTCCTACGTCAGTTGTATCCTAATTCTCTAATACCTATTTTAATATTATCCTTCCATGTACACCAATTTTCCCAAGTGGTCTTTTATCCTAGGGTATTCCATCTGAAAGTTTATATGCATTTATTGTCTCTGCTACATACGCTACGGCTTCCTTAGTGTGCAGTATTCATAATAACTCATCATGCACTGATGATGGAGGCAGTAAACTCCTTTGAAATTTCAATCACTGTTTACCAGACTGCACAGTAACACATCCCAGAAGTCAACCACTTTCGTACGATTGCTGTCAAAAACACGAATGAACGGTTTGTCGTCTGCAAATTTTCTGTGGTCGCAACTTACTCAGTGTCTCTTAGTTTATTATAAGTAATTATTTTAGTATAATTCATTATACTGACCTCGCCTTCTGCCTGCAGATCTACGATACAGAGAACGAAGCGTACTCGGAGATCGTTCAGATGCTGCCGTTAGTGACAATGCCAAGTTCGCAATCCCACCTCAAGAAGCCGATCATACTGTCCTCGCTGCTACCCACGACAAAGCACCTCTACTTCACGTACAATGGGTCACTCACCACGCCTCCGTGTCTGGAGGTCGTCACGTGGATCGAGTTCAAACAGGCCATCCTACTGTCTCATCACCAGGTCAGTAACCACGTTGATTCACTGTGGTACGAGGCATCCACGTGCTACCAGCAGATGCCATAAGTGAAAAAGAAAACATCAAATCATTCACGAGAAGCCTCACACATATGAATTCAACATAAAAACTGTTTCTGTGCAGTATCAAAGGAACAGTCAATGTTTTTTCTTTGCTCTGGTTAATCTTGCTGTGAAAAGAAAAGTAATTGGCAATGAAAAAATTAATATGAAGATTTGGCGAGGGTAAAATAAAACCTCCTCCAAGTTGGGGGTTGGTCGCAAGGCTAACAACCTCGCACCATAAAAAGAAAGATGTTTCGAGACCTCGATCAAAGCCTCGGACATACGGACCTAACAGAGGACCGGATGGAAGAGGAGGATTGAGGAGGCCGTGGACCGAATACGGACCGGAGAGCCATAGAAGAAAAAGAAAATAAAACCTAATTTTGTGCACATGCGATGCCTGTGAACAGAGAAGACAAGCAGACAAAAAAATGTAAAAATACTCAAAGGCAAGAAGTATGTAAAAGTAGAAAGGTTCACCTTACGAAACGAAGTAAACTAAAGCTGTCGTGCTACACGTCATGGAGGCACATGCGGTTAGGTTAGTCGTCAGTGTCATGCCCTGGCTGTGCTGGGGAAAGGACCCTGGTATCCATTGGGTGGGAGGGTAGTGAACCCCAGAGCTGGTCCGGATGCAGAGGCTAGAAGAAAAATCCTTTGCCCCTTCCGGGGATCAAACCCCAATCATTCAGTCAGACTGACTTACTGGCTCGCCTACCTCGGCTCCTATTATAAAACAAACGAATTGTGCGACAAAACAAGACAGACTTTCCATTTTATTACTGACTAAATTTATGATGCAAGGTAATGAAGTGCCATCCGCCACAATAATCCAGGAAAATGCTGCATGAAATTAGTTAAACATAATTTAATATCTGTACAAATAGAAAGACTTTTTTATTTAGCGTGAAGAACTGAACCGGCAGTATGAGATCAATTTTTTTTTTTCCATTTCAGGTTGAAGCATTCCGCAAACTGAAGTCAACAGAAGGTTCACTGACACACAACTTTCGTCCGGTCCAGCCCCTCAGTGGCCGACCCGTTTGGTTCAATGTGGCCGATGACACGAGGCATCAAAATGCAGCCGGTCCTCTTACGATAAATTACGGCCTTGTGACATTCCTCGTGCTACTGCTAACAGCGCCACAACGATGAAAAAGTTACTAGAACGAGATGGTTTTGTATGGAAGACCGAGAGAGTATTTACAAAACAGTTAATCTGATGACATCACTCGAGGGCAGTGAGAACCAAAACGCTCATTTCAAATGTCCATAAAGTAACTATTTATTCTGATCTCTCCGTCTAACTTTTTACTGGTTTCGTAGAAGTTCCCCTGGGATACGTCACCAATCAGGCAGTGTAACTTGCATGTGGGAGGTACCCAGTTTAAAGCAATGGCTATCCTTAGGCATTTCATGGTTTTCCTCAGTCCCTCTAAGATAATGCTTGAAATAAACCGTGACTACATTCTTTCCAATCCTTTTCATTTCACTGTACATAATCATTTTCCCGCCTCATTTGACACTGAACTTTTTCGGTTTAAAGAATATAATTAGATATCTAAACACAAACGTGTATCTCGTAACACTGAAAGGAGCAAATCAAATAGGGTAAAATTTCTTAACCTCTGCTAATAAAAGTATGAAAGTTCTTACATTTCTCAAAATTAAAAGAATTTGTTTAGTAGTTGTATGACGTGAAGGGGAACAACAGTAGACAGCTGACTGCCTGAAAGACTACTCTGGTTAGTCACCGCAAAGAATAAAGATTCTTAGGTATGGCTTCATATACATGTGGCAACAGTGTCTTGTATGATGTATGTGTAATTTAGCATTACAATTAAGGCAATGATAACAATTAAATCCCATTTAATAACCCTATTACCATACGGTCATATCGAAAATATCTCACGTCTTTAAAAAAAAAAGGATGTATCAGTGGATGCACAGCATCACATCAGATCTGTAAATGTGCAAGAAATAAATGTATTGCATTTATTTTCTGATTCTTGATTTGAGACAACATCCCAGGTCAAATCTGTACGTAGTCTCAAAATTCGCTTGAACATCTAATTTGCAGGGAAAAGGAAGAATTGTTCCACTTTGTAAGATGATCAATCTGTGTGCAAATATTTATCCAATAAGAAATATTAAGTGTTTAATTTTAAAACAATTCCCTTCATTACAGGCTGAAGCTCTTAACGCATGTTTCTTTTGATATTTCCGACAGTTCTAACAACTTCACAGGAAAACACGATGTTACTGACGCTGCGACGAGGGAAAACAGATGAAAGCTGTAGCGTACTAGATGAAAAGTCATACAAAATTGACAATCTTGCTTACATGGCATTTCCATACCACAAAATTGAGGCATGGACAAAATAACGTCGAGAACATCACAAACATACATCGTGAAAAACGGTAAACCCGAGAACACCTCGGCACTGAATATATTTCATTTCAATGTTCCCATCACACACTTAGTTGTCTTGTAAAGTTAAAAGTTTGTTAAAACAACAAAATTATTTGCTTTTCTTTGATTTCTTTGTTACTGGTGGCTTCTTGGCTTTCAGTTTTGAAATTATGATGAAGATAGATAAAACTGTGAATCCCACTGATCCAAACCCAATCTTCCATATCCACGGACTGTCCCGCAAGTAGTCCACTATCATCTGCAGGAAATCATCACTGTAACAGAAACACATGACAGTATTTTGAGGAGGAGGGGGTGGGGGGGAAACCACCAAACCCTAACTACCAACAGTTGAGGACACAAGGGAAGAGACCACTCGTATGCCCGTGACTGGGTATACACATAAAAAATGTGTTCACATGGTCCCTCACCGTTACTATAAAAGAACGTATTTGTTTTTGTGAATACAATATTTTGAACTTGACACCGTAACTGCAGATTCACTAAATCATCTGACATATATAATACCAAACTGGAAATACGAAAAACCATTCACTTACAATGGACTCTTCGGGGCGGAAACAGTTTCTTTCCGAGCATTTTTGTACCAGTCAGTCACGAAAGAGGTGAAAGCCGTAACATCGTACTTGTGGATGTTGTAACGGTACATGGATCCTTGGCGAAAACTAAAACAACGCCAAACAATACACTCAAACACAACCAGCAATTTTTCAAATAATTAATGTCTTATATAATAAGAGAGGTGAAGGGTGGTCGATGG